TTCTTACCCGATAGGACCCACTCCCCCCTCAGGGTTATAGCTCCATCCTGACCTGTACCACGGTGCTGGCCCTTAAGCCTATAGTGCATGCTGTTCCTCAGGCCTATAGGGCTGTACTAACCTTTAGTACACGCTGGCCCTTGGGGGTATAGATCCGTCCTGCCCTACAGCACAGTGCTGCCCCTCAGCCCCATTTCTCTGTCTGGCCCTATAGGAGAGTCCTGGCCCTTGGCCCTATAGCTATAGCTGAGGAGTGGCACCTTGCTCCATCCCACAGCATGGCACAGTGCTGTCCCTGGGCCCTATAGCTCCATACTGCCCTACAACATGGTCCTGTAGAGAGTTCTCTCCACAAAAGGGCTGTGTGTGCAGGATAGCAGCGAGAGGAGCCCTACAGCTCCCGCTTACTTCATCTTTCAACCCCCCCCTCAAAATCCCCACTGTGCTCCTACGGACGCAGGGGAAGCAGCACCTGTCCCGACACAGGCCTGTAATAACGCTTTGATTTTATTAAAGTTCATCCAAAAACACAACAATAAATAAAAGAAATGACAAAACCTGCCGCGTATGGTACAGGACGAGAGCGAGGGGACATGGCCATGGTGATGGCCGCACCCTGGTGCTCTGCTAATCACTGATCATCCCCCAGAGGGGACAGGGACAGCGAGGTGACACGCTGAAGGTGCACACTCCCACTTCCCAAACTGGACTCTTAAGGAAAAAATGAGGAAAAATAGCACCACTGGCTGAGCCAGCGCAGGGTGGTGGGACGTCAGCTCCCAGGGACGTCAACTTGAGCAGGCACTGTCCTGGGGCACAGAGCCAAGGCCTTGGGAGTCTTGACCGAGGCCAAGTGTGCAACAGGGCTGCCGCTAGTTGCGGCGGTACAGGCGATCCCGGGTGGCCACACTGACCTTCTGCTCGTAGTCCTCCATCTTGTCATGCAGCTTCTGATAGAGCTGGGCAAGGGGCAGAGCAGGTGTCAGAGACAAGCGCTTCCACCCTGTTCCCACTTTCCTTCTGCTCCTCGGCAGGGTGTTTGCCAACACCCTTCCTTTTCCCCCGGGCAGTTGTACCTACCACGACGTTGTAATGGTTGGTGTTGCTCTCCCGCAGTGCCTGGAGCAGCTGGTCGATGGCGGCATAGGGCAGCCACACCATGGGGGCCATGGCGGACAGCGGGAACTGGGTGGGGAGAGGAACCTTTTCGTCACATTGCACTTGAGGTAAAAACACTCTTCCTCACAGCTACAGCGAGGAAGAGCCCCCAACTGCAATGTCCCGACACCTGCTTGTCCTGCTAATCCCAAGAGGTCCTCTCTCCTGTAGGGTGGGTTTATCCACACCCATTTCTCCTGGAAGCACCGTCACGCAAGTCATGGGCACAATACCCAAATTCCAAGCAGGATCTGCCCCAAGGAACCGTCCACCACATCCCACACTGCAGGTGAGCTCACCTCAATTCCAAAATACTGGTGCCCTTTGCCCAGCACAGCATCTACGTACTCCAGGACCAGGTCCACAGCCTCCTCCAGCAGATCGTAATTCAGATAGAGACGAAGCAGCTCGGCAGCATCCACTTTCTGCAAAAAAAGAGGGAAACCTCAGCCAGGGAATGCTCTCGGGAGCCGCCACGATGCCAAGAGGAACCTGCTCTGAGCATCAATAACAGGCACAAAGCATTTGGCACTGGTTCCCAGCGCGGGGAAGGTGGGGTGAAGCTCACGATGAGGAGGTGCCTGTTGAAGTGAAGGTGATCTGGCAGCTCTGGGACAGCTGAGGTTTTTTTTTTGGACAGCAGGCAGTACGCACCGAGCGGTGATTCTCTCCCTGTTCTCACCTTGTAGCTGTTAATGAGCCAGTTGGGCAGAGGTATCCCGTGTGCCAAGAGCTTGTTGATGACACAGCGATGGTACAGGCTGTTCTGGGACGGGTAACGCTCCAAATAGGATGACAGCAGCCGCCAGGCTTCATCTGTGGCACTGCAAGGCAATATTTCTCTTTGGAACTCGTGCCAGCAGTCCCTGCCACTGTCTGCAAAGCCATGGTGTGCTCCATGGGACCTGTCCCACTGCCTGGGTTCAACATGTGCCCAGTAAAGCAGGAGGCTGGGGAGAGCACGTTGACAGTGTGGCAGCACAGCTCTCCCGCTGTCCCAGTCCCGCCAGTCTGCTTTAAGGGGGTTTTATGAACCTGCGACTCTCTGCATTTTTGCAAGTTTTTTGCCTCCAGAAATGACGACTCTCATTCTTGCAAAGAGCAGCTCCGCTCTTCTCCCCCACAGAGAAGGACCTACCTGGACTCCTTGGTGGTAACCAGGGCAGAGAGCTGGTTTGCTGCTAGCCAGTCCCAGGCCTCTGCCTGTGCTGCCTCCCCTCCCAGCTGCAGCTTGATGCACCTGCAAGACAAAGCAGTGCAAAGGTGGGTGCCTTCAGCGCCCAGCCCTGTCACGCTGCCCTGCCACAGCCACCAGCATTAAAGCCACCCCTCACAGGACTATTCCCAAGCAACAGCTACAAATCAGATGGCTTGGCAGGAAAAGGAGGCTGTTAGATTTCTAAGCTGCTCTAAATGTCAGAGAGGAATTAATGACAACTCTGATGTTAGCAAGCTTTAGGGCCTGAGTTTGGGTAATAGATGCTTTCTGTGCATCCAGCCACAGGAACAGGTCGCAGCAGAGCTCCTGAACAACTCTGCAGGCACAATGCATCTTCTGGAAGCACGGAGAGGAAAAGGAGAGGAATCCTGGGGGTCGGAGATGAGGCATGAAAGCAAATGGCTAGCACAGAGATCAGACAGAGGAGCAAGTGCTCTGTCAACTGCTATTTGAGAGCCGCTTGACAGCTTGAACAAATCTTCTGTAAGCAGCTCACTGGGCATCAGCAGGAGTGTGCCATGAGCCAGCTCACCAGAAAGGTCTCCAGATGATGGTTGTGCCTGGGTTGGGATCACCTGTGACTGTCAGATGCCAGCTCTCTCCCCCACAACCAGAGAGAAACCTCCTCCCTCCCCTACCTGCTCAGCAAGGCTCTCTTATTTTCCCTTTTCAGGTGTGAAGAGCAAGTTTCACCTCAAAACCACTGAGCCAGCAGCTGCTGAGGCCGTGCACAGCATGAGCAGCCACGGCGAGCAGACAGGTCGGGACAGCACTGGCTTCTGACCCTGGGGAGCTGTGAGCTGCGCTCTGCCAAGCATCACGCAGCGCACGTCTCTCCAGCCGCGCGTCACCTGAGGCAGGGTAGGAGGAGAAGCTCCCTACGTACTTGAAAGTGAGTCCCTCAAAGATGGGTGTCAAGGGCAGCTTGAATGTTTGGCACAGACTGACGGCGGTGTCAAAGAGGCCGGCCCGGACCAGCAGAGCAACTGTTTCCTCGGGCGACGAGTTGCCTGCGGGGAAGGAGGACAAGGTAAGTGCCTCCCCCAGTCACACCCCAGTGCTTACGGAGGCCTAACCTCATGCAATTCAGCAGCAGAGTTCACTGTGCTAACAGCTCAACGTAAAACATGCTGCAGCAGTACTTCTCATCGCACAGCTTGAGGTTTTCTTGGCCTCAGGAGCATCTCATGAGCCCAGGAGCCATCCCTGGAGGGACTGCACAAAGCAGCAGTGACCCACAGAGCCATCTCTAATCAGGCATCAGCTGGAGAGGGACACGGACAGCACCGTACAGCCTGTAGTCAAATGCTGCCGCTGTTGATGTGAGCAAGGAGGCGACAGCCTTGTTGCTGGCACAGCAGAGCTGTATCCAAGGATAAGCTCAGCTCTGCCAGCGCAAGCAGGAGGGCCAGTGGCAGGAGGTGAGATGAAACTGTGGCACTCAGCTCCCTGCGCCTCCAGTTTGCCCTCAAACCAGCTGTTCAGTTCTTTTCCTGCAATCCCTTACTGGGAAGTTATTTCCCCCTGATACTTAAAAGGGGAAAAATGCGTACATGTTGCATAATTCGTATCAGAGAGCGGCAGAACATGCTTAAAGGGTCAGGGTGGGAGAATTGCATCTTTCTGCTCCCCAACAAGGAACAACTCTGATAAGCTAACAGCATGTCATGAAGCAGGATTGTCCAGGACAATAATCTAAGCAAGTGTGGTTTTTTTTTTCCCTAGGGCTTCCTAATCCTTTTTCATCTAGAGGCAACTTCCAGCAAGCCAAAAAGATGTCTTTTTGTCTCAACTCATGAGCTCAACCCCAGCGCCACGCAGATCATTGCTGGGGTTCAACAGAGTGAAAAAACTATGGAAAATTTAAAATTGTTTCTCCTGATCTGCCTCTCCAAAGCTGCTGAACTTGGTGGCAGCATTTCATGCTAGGGAGGCAAACTGAATGGTCCCTGCCAGCTCCTGGTTTTGTCTCTCAGTCAAAACAAAACTGCTGCTTCCTCACCTGAGTTACAACTAGCAGAAACCTCAGGGGGAGTGATAGGTGGCTGCGCCACATCCCTCTTACCTGCCACAGCCGCTGTTGACAGGTCATGCTGCACCAGAGTCAGCCGTATTCGAGCCAACACACACTCCCTCTCCAAATCCTCCAGCTCCAGGATCTCGATTTGCCGTGTTGCTGTAACGGACAGACACAAAGGGCTCTCAGCATTTTAAAAAGGGCTCCTTGGGCATCGTGCGAAACGCCTGTGCCCCCTCTGCCACCTTGAAAGGAGTTGTACCACAGAAAGGACCAAAGAAGGGGTCAGGTTTCTCCTTTGTGAGAAATGGCCTCACGAAGACTTTTTTTAAAAAAAAAAAAAATTACAAGCTATTTCCACTGAAAGCAAAAGCACTGACAAGACATCAAACTGCAGAGGAACATGCACAGAAGCTCCTTGGGGAACAGCTGTTCCATGGCACCATATTGCACCTGGAAGACACTAACACTGGGAGAGTGAACTAGCTTACAATCCCCCAAATTATTGATCTGACAGAGGCGAGAGCTGCCCTGAGCCATCTCCCAAGTCCCACAGGAGCAGCAGAGCTCTGAGGCCAGGGGAAAGGCTGCGGGAACACAAGAGACACGGGATCGGGCACTTACTTGGAACAGCCGTGCACTCCCCATCATGGCTTCTCTTCGGGGATGCTCCAGGGCGTTCGTACTTGCAGGAAAAAAAAAGATGGTTTATGCTCACCTGGTCTCCAAAGGACAAATTGCCTCGATACGATGCAGCCCCAACACCAGCTCTCCATTTCAGGCCTTGATTTAAATCGGAAAAGCCATACAATCACTTGGCGGTTCAGGTTACATTTATCTCTGGCTATCAGAAACAGAGCACAGCACTAGCTGATCAGGCTGCGGTCACAAGCACTTCGTAAACAGATTTGAAACCCAAACCACATTCCAATAATTCTCCTTTTTACTGGTATTCCAGCTGTTTGGACTCCCCAGAAAGATCTGCTATGCCTTCAACAAATTGTGATATATTCCCACATATATACACCAGCCTCCTCCCAAAAGTTGTCCTGTTTCCACCTGGCTCCAAAAAGAGCCAAAGGCACAAGAGTGACAGATGGGACTGATGTCTCCGCTGAGTGGGGCAAGACAGTGCTGCACATGCTCGCCAAGGAGACGAGAAGAGGAGATTAAGAAGGTCAACACCTCTGTTCATCACATCGGAAAGGATTTTGGAAGCTTCTTCCCAAAACATACAACCGTAAGCGTCTCCACAGCCAGTAGTTCAGGTCATAAACCTTATAGCAAGCTCAGTGTTTCCTACCACAGCTCCAGAAGCTGGCTGCACTATCCAGGCATACTCTGGGCGGATCAACCGTAAGCAGTTAATAGCAGCGAGGAAACAGTTTCCTTGTTTCTGGAGCCCTCGGAGCGTCCGGACTTCCCTGCCCAGGCGCATGCCGTATTCAAACATCACTGTTCCAGCTGAGGAGAGAAGGGGAATACATTAGCCCCATCATCCTTCACCGTTGGTGGCACAAGACCCAGGACAGGCCACTCCGCAGGGGTAGGGCAAGTTGGTGTGTGCCAGGCAGGTGGGCTGTTGTGCCAGAACGTGCCCACCCCGAGACTCACCCTTGCGGTAGTTGTGGCGGTAAATGTGGAAAGCATACAGCAGCTCGTAGTAATTGTGGGTCATCAAGTCCACCGCTCGAGCATGAGATTCGATGATCCCAACAACCTGTGGCACACAAGAGGCTCAAATGGGTCGACAATTCCTTTAAAAGGAGAGGTTGTACCCCCCTTCCTCCCAGTACAGGCCATTACCTCGTTATGGAGGTTCACATAGGGGAATTCCACCAGGTCCTGGAGCTGGGAACGTTCACAGAGAACCACCACTAGCTGGCGCAGACAGTCCAGCTGCCTGCGGAGAGAGAGGACAATCGTTCCAGAGGAGCGGGAACAAACCCATCTCCAGGGCGCAGGGTTTAAGCCATAAACATGTTGCTTTGTGACAAACTCCATAGTTGGTTTTTTTCCCAGCTTAGAACCAAGAGGTCCCTTCGGACTTCTCCTGTGCTGGAAACAGAGATCCTGGACTGCAGAGATGCGTCTCTCCAAGAGTGTCTCAGGAAGGCAGTCTCCCTCCCTCAGCTCTATTTGGCAAGAATTCCTTCAGCCTCAATTAAAACATATTCCTA